AAAAATCACAATATATACACATAACATGCACTCTCACTTTTTCGAGGTTTGATTAGTTTATATTGTTACAATGAATACTGAATAGGTAAAGAATATTAGTAATAATACAAACAGTATATATACAGAAAAGAATTACCTATCCAATAAGATTCCCCCTAAGAAAAGATAACTCCCTAACTGGGAACCTTGACTCCATGTATGTATGTATGTATGTTTATTAGTCTCGTAGTAGTAAGCAATATAAAAAATTGACAATATTAATATTGGAGACGGGACGCATGCACAAGACCATACTGGCCTAAAACACAAATGTGCGACATGCACCCCATATATAAAATATTCCCTAAAACAGTGCCTAAAGATTGCTTAAGTACTCATAATATTAAAATAAAGAAAACTAATTTAACACCCAAAATTTTCAGTAATCTGGGATGCTTTATACATAAGTTATGTTCCCTCTCGAATATTTTCCAAATCACATTGTAACTGTCTTTTTTGGGTTACGTGCCTGTTCAAGTAGTTTTTAACAATATTACATGTAGAATCATTGCGTTTAAAAGGGTAGAAAGAGGAAGTGTGTGTTGTTTGTGATAAAAAAGGGGTTAAAATAAAGAGAAAAGGCCTTGAAATGGCGGTTTCCACGACGGTTGGTCATGGGGATTAAATTTCTATGAATAAATTTAACCCTTGATTGAATTAGTATATAAAATATTCTCATGGTTACACCTTACCCACATTGTAATACATTGGGTAGGCTGAATCAGAAGAAATAAAAAATAGCAGCCACTTTTATACTCAGCGGTTGGTTGAGCACAGTCAGTTCTGAGAGAAGGTATGGGAGCAATGAGCTAACGGTTATTAATTAAAGCACAGGATTTAGTTATGTTGTCACCCCATATTGAAAATCACAATGGTGTAAAAAATTGAGTAGGCAATGCTAAAACAGAAAGTTACTTGTACGAAGCCTTGCTCTGAGCAAAAGAGACAAAGAGTTGACTAAAAACAAAAAACTGACGATGAATTTTACAAAATAATTTAACATTTTCCGAAATATATTATGTAGTATTAGGTTATTCAATTAGTTTTTCGTATTCTGGAATTTTGTTTTCGTTATCGAAAATGATCTTAATTATACGGATAATCAAACTTAGTTAAACCTTCCCCTAAAATTCTACAACAAAATTTAACATATTTAGGAAATAAAAATGATTCAATTTAGTAGGCCATCAAAAAGTTTGGTATTATGGAATATCTTTTGCGACGTTTAAATCCGTGAATTATCTAAATAGGGGGTTTTGGTCGTTAAATCATGTTAATGTTATGGGTCTATAACTCACTCTATAGCTATACCATTACTATCATAATCAATATATCAGTGACTGCTTGCCCAAGGCCCTATTGAAACAAAGTTCAAACCAACACGCACAAAAAAAACACAAAAAAAAAAGGAGACACAGCGTCCCTTTTTGTCCTACAAAGTTTTGTCTACAATGGAAAATAAAAAAAATTAAACAAGTCAGATTGAGATAAGTCACCAAGTTGTAATGATGTGGCAAGATAGCTTGATGGGTTTGAGTACGGTAAAGTAATCTATCTCAAGATCTCGTTTTAATCGAAATTTCTCCAATTTGTTTTCAAAGATAAGAATTGTATAAACTTTCTAATTTTACAGTCATTAAAAATTGAATGAAATACTTTGAATCTGACAATGCCATTTTAAATACCAATTCTTCCTAAAAACAAGAATTCAGAATATTGAGATCACTTTATATCGAATTTATTCAAATATGTGACTTGGTTTGTAATGCTTGATTCAAAAAAGAATAATTTAAACAACCGAACGGAATATGTAAAATTAATATTTGGTCATATTCATAGTTTTCAGTAAATTACGGTAACATCTGTAGTTTTTACCTAAAGATATCATGAGAAGAGGAGACATCTATAGAGTAACAGACAGATTTAGCGAAGCACAATGGAGAGAATTCTCTCGACTAAAACTCAATTTGGGTGAGAATGAAATGGATCAACTTGAAAATAGATGGGGAAATGATTTTCAAGAACGTAAATTCAGGTCACTTATTAAATGGCAGGATCAAAATGAGGAAAGGAGAAACCTCATGCAACTGTTAATTACTTTGAAGCATGAATATTTTTGTGGTGAACAAGAAGAGGCGAATCAAATAAGGGATGAACGAGTAGTTCAAGTAGAAGAACCAGCTACCAATATTTACGGCTTTGAAGCACTCAGAGATTTAGTGAACTCGGATTGGTATAAAATAACAGCAAGAAAAGGCCTTGTTCTCATCATAAGTAATTCCTTCACATCCTTTGAAGAAATACACCATAGAACACCTGCTTGTCGCAGAGATGTGGAACATATGGAAACACTGTGGAGAGATACTATAGGATGCACACTGCTAGAAGGAACGTCTCACCGTGACAAAAGTGCACAAGAAATGAGAGATCTGCTCAGGAGGCTTGGTAACTCGCAAGGGTACGATTACGTGGTGGTAGTGATAAGCACGCATGGTGGTATGGTTCAATTAACTGGAAAGAAAAAAAGAGATCAAACATCTGAGAATTATCAAGAAGTTTTGTTGGGAAACGATGGGGCAGCAATCCGAGCAAATGAAATACAAACATTTTTTGACAATAATGCTGCTAGAAACCTACAAGATATCCCCAAGCTTTTCATTCTTCAATACTGCCGAGGAGAACAAGTAGATCGAGGTGTGTACAGGCAAAATAATGTTACTCCTGATGCTTTTCCGATTCTCAATTTAATGGATCCGCTGATGCCAACAAAAAGTGACGTAGTCACTGCTTATCCAACGCATGAAAATCAAAAAACATATAAAGATGAACATGGATCTTGGTTCATTCGTTCCATTTTTAATGTCTTTATGGATGGATACCGCCAAAAGCATGTCACAGATATGCTCACAAAAGTTAATCGTGAAATGATGAATAGGAGAGGTGTAGTAGACATGAATGACTGCAAGTCAATGAGCATCTACGAGTCCAGTCTCACCAAGGATTTTTACTTGGTAAAACCATCATTTCATGGTGGCCAGGTTAAACATGTGGAATCCAAGCCTGAGGGCAAAGAAAAGACCAAGACACCATTGATACAATAAAGTCAAGAAAATGAACCCTCACTAAAGCAGTAATAGACTGCAATGCAAACCAAAATTTTGTAATTAGTATATGACAAAAAAAAAATTTAACAGAATATGTTTTTTGCCATAATTCTATCTCTAAAAGTTTTTATCATTAGGGCTACCCAGTATTACATATACACTTATGTAGATAGCTCTGTGCCTTGAAATTTGGTTTCCACGATGCCCTATAATGCATATAATAACATTATTTGATTTACATTAGAATGTAGTGTGCTTATATTCAATGTGTGATATTAATTATAACGTAGCAATAAAAACTAATCAAGGTCATTAAACATTGTCTTAAGTTGCTAGAAGTTGGGATAAGGATATACAGGATCAAAGAAGTCTTGTTAAAGCACCAAGTTTTTCAAATTGTGTACCAGGTTAAGGTTAGGTCATAATTTCACTTCGATTTTCCTTATTTTAGTTCTATTACAAGTTCGGGGACTGTGTGTGTTAGCCAAGTGAATATACCCGTGCCCATAGGTTTCAGTCACTTTACACAACTTGATGTAAAGTAGGCGAACAAAATTAGTTACCTCCGTATTGGTACACATACTTCTGGAGCGCTCAATTTATTACATCTTGGGTAGGATGGTGAGCATAGAATTGAACTTCAGTTGACAGAGAGTGCTTAGTACACAAAAAATGGACATTTCAATGGAGGTTCAAGATTCCATGAATACCCAAACTTTAGGGCTCACGACCATTGTACATAATGACATAATGAGTGCCAAGGTGCCTTGCAGTTGAAAAAAAAAGTGTTAAGGTGTCCTGGCCGATTCAAAAAGGGAAAAATGAAAAAAAAATGTGATTTCGAAGTCTCCAAAAATAACTGCAAAGGTGTCTCGCAGTTTTCGAAAAAAAAAGTGCAGCAATAGTGAACACTTCTCACGACCCCTTTTAATATATTAGAATTTTTTGCTACCCATGTTTACATTTAATTTATTGTGTCTTACAATCAAAGCAGGCATTGTTATGCAAGCACAGCGCTTCTCGGGTCTTACGATCAAAGTAGGCATTGTTATGCAAGCACATCGCTTCTCGGGTCTTGCGATTAAAGTGGGCATTGTTATGCAATGTGCGCCTCTTCTTTGATCCCATTGATTTCTTTTGAAATCGTGAGATTTAATTTTTGCATCGGTTTCAACAATTGTGTTTCGAATCAAAAGTCTAAATGAGTATATTTGATATTGTACTTTGTCAAATTGGTGTAATCTTTGCGACCCCTAAAATTGCGCACTCCTGCAAGGTCGCGACCCCCAGTTTGGGAAGCCCTGTGGTATTCAATTATGAAGTTTTATCCCACCCTATACTCATAATATCTACTTATACCAGTGACGTCTTGAAGAGAGCCTCATTCGACCGAAAGGTGTAAAAAATCTATGAAAAAACAGCTACTGTGGATAAAAACTTTTGAATTTCAGACAATGTAGGATATTTCATTGTTTATTTTCAAACTATGTATAAAAACTTAGCATAACGTAAGCAAATAATACATTCCCGCCAAAAGACTCAAATCAGCCTTTGTCTCGTGATAGCGGGTTCAGACCTTTTGCGACGCAAAGTTTTTTACTACAATGAACCGTGCAGAAATGATTTCAACAAATCAAGTAAGAAAATACCAAAAATTGGCAAACTGTGATATTCTAAAAATATAGCTTTAGAGGTTTAGGTATAGAAGAGCATCAGACCGGGAAACCCATGCACCTGGAAAAATAAAGCAAGGTATTTTATATTCCCTGCCTTCGGCAGGTAACAGGATGAGAGAATGTGGCCTGCCATATTATTGAGCCATCTCATCAACTTTCAAGCTATTTTATATTCCCGGCCCTCGGCTGGTAACAGGATGAGATAATGTGGCCTGCCATGTTATTGAGCCATCTCATCAGCTTTCTTTTACCATATTATAAATATAAAAATCCTATTCCATCACTATTATAACTGTATTATGTTAGTGACGTCATTCAAGACTGGTACACACATGATTAAGCCGTCTTATCAGCTTTCCTCTCTCCCCATGAAAAATACAAAAATTCAATTATGTATTTTGATGGAGTCATCTTTTTGTGAATTGTATTGATATATGAATGAAGTTTTACAATGAGGCAAGCAAATAGTACGATTCCCGTACAAAGACTCAAACCAGCCTTTGTCGCGTGATATTGGTTACAATCTTTTGCGGCGAAAGATTTTTTACTACAATGAACCATGCGAAAATGAATTCAACAAGTCAGGTAAGAAAATCTTGAATCTTGGCAAACTGTGATATTTTGGAAATACAGCTGTTGAGGTTTATGTACAGAAAAGCGACCGACCGAAAAACCTGTGCACTTGCAACAATAAAGCAAGCTATTTCATATAAGCCACTAGTAACAGGATGTGATTATGTGTCCTGCCCTATTATTGAGCCATCTCATCAGCTTTCTTTTACTATATTATAAATATAAAATCCTATTCCATACACTATTATAACTGCATATGCCAGTGGCGTCATTAAGACCGGTATAACCAGGATTAAGCCGTTTTATCAGCTTCCTTCTCCCCCCATGAAAAATACAAAATTACTAATATATATTTTGACGAGATCACGTTTTTGTAAATGACTTGAAATGTGAATAAAAGTTTAGCCTGATGGGGGCATATAGTACGGTTCCCGCCAAAGGACTCGAACCAGCCTTTGTCTCGTAATATTGGGTTACCACTTTTTTCTACACAAAACTTATATCCACAATGAACTGTGCAGAAATGAATTCAAAATATCAAGTAACAAAAAATCAAAAAATTGGATATTTTGGAAATATAGCTTTAGGTATAGAAAGGCGACCAAGCCGAAAAACCCATGCACATGGAACAATAAAGCAAGCTATTTTATATTCCCGGCCTTCGGCTGGTAACAGGATGAGAGAATGTGGCCTGCCATATTATTGCAACATCTCTTTCTTCTCCCATAATATAAATATGAAATCCTATCCCATTACTATTATAACTGTATATGTAAGTGACATCATTCATGACTGGTACACTCATGATTAAGCCGTCTTATCAGCTTCCCTCTCCCCCCTTATAACAAAAAATAAAAAAATTCGATCATATATTTTAATGGGGTCACATATTTGTAAATGCTAAATGCCTTGAAATGTGAATAAAAGTTTAGCATGATGGGGGCATATAGTACGGTTCCCGCCAAAAGACTCGAACCAGCCTATGTCTCGTGATGTGGGATTGAGACGCCAACATACTCGTCTACAGTGAACCGTGCAGAAATGAATTCAAGTCAGGTGAGAAAAATTGGCAAAATGTGATATTTTGGCAATATAGCTGTGAAGGTTTAGGTATAGAAAAGCAACCAAGCCGAAAAACCCTGCAACAATAAAGCTTTTATATGCACCCTCTGGAATAGTAACGCTCTAAAAAGCCGTAATTCTCATATGATTAAGCCATCCCATCAAATTCATATCCCTAGATCTTCCTATGATTGAAATTTAGGAACACCTCAGTTAATAAATGTTGATATTGACGTAATCAAAATTTTCAGTCGTCACGCGAGGAATATTTAAGGGAAAATATGATGCAAGTATTGTGTAACATATGAGATCTAAAATGTTTCAGATATTTTTGGATTTTTATATTTATCCCTGGAAGAGGGAAACATGGGTTAATGGTTAGTCGTGGGAAGTGGGGACCATCGGTTACATGAATATACGGCGATGTGGCTCATCGTGCTAAGCGTTAGGAATACGATCGCCACCGCACCTCTGATTACTCTGCGTGGGTTCGCAGGTTCGAATCCCATGCGAGGATAGTTATGTGCGAGAGGATTGCTGGACTCCTCGCCGCCGTTGGGTGGTTCACGTAATCGCTGGTCGGTTACGGCTTCCTCCACCATCAAGTCCATGCTTTCGAAAACAAGTAACTAACTAATCCCATACCCGACATGGAATGGTAACCGGATGAGAAGCCGTGGTTCACCATATGCATAAGCTTTACTGCAGACTGGTCAAAAGTGAAGGCATTACAAAAGAAATTGTTACCCCTTCAGTCTGGGAACCACTGCCCTATGGTATTCGAACACACGCAGGGTAGTCAGAAATTCAATGGTAATTGTATCCCTAACAATGCGACACTAAGCCAGAAAATGACTCAAAAATAATATTAGTTAGGGGACTCCAACTCGCTACTTACAAGGTACATGGTCTAAAACAGTGGTTCTCAAACCTTTTTCAATATATTTATGCCTTCCTTTGATCAGGAGTCGCTTCTAATAATTGTAAATTAAAAACAAAACAACACCGCACCAGGTTTCAACTCTAATTTTTCTAATTCAGAATCAATGCTATGAAGAGCATCAGCAGCAAGGATGCCCAGAAAATTACTATATTTACCAGAATCTAACTTGTTGCGAATGCCCACAAGACCTGATTTCACTCAATATTAGCGACATGTACTGTTATGAAAAGGAAAAAGCTAAATTCATAAAGTAAGCCAGTGGTTTCAAACAAACCTTTTTCATTTACCGTATTTATTCAATTATAACGCGCACTCGTGTATAACGCGCACCTTTAAATTTTGAATGGAAATTGGTATAACATTCTTTTTTTTATTTTTTCTCTACTAACTACTGGTAAGCACATAAGGTAACAACGCACAGCATGAACAAAAATTTATTAAAAGCACACAGTAATTCAAAACTCTTCAAAATCGGATTCAGTCTCTGATTCACCAAACAACTGTTCGATTTCTGTTTGGGTTATGTTTAAATCAGTGTCCCAATCGGCGGGAACATCACTTTCAACCTCTTCTTCTGACCCTGATTTTGAATCCCACAACAAGTCGTCTTCTGTACCATCCATACTATTACTAATGCTCTGGTACATTGAATTCTCTGGAAGCTTTTCTATTTCCATGAGTTTCCGCATAATCAACAACCTCCAGTTTGAATGCAGCCCTATATGCAGAACGTTCGCATGTGCGTGTGCTTGCACGAAATCGAACGCTTGCACGAATGTCAAACGCACGCTGAGCTGTCGCATGTGCGTGTGCTTGCACGAAATTGTCCTGCATTGGAATGTGCATGCGCGAGCGCACGCACGTTTCAGATGTTTAAAACCACATTTCCAATACCGCATTTCTCAGACCTCGTGTATAACGCGCAGCATTGATTTTTGCCTAAAATTCAGTTCAAAATTTTGCGCGTTATAATCGAATAAATACGGTAATTCCTCTCCTTTCCACTTTTTATTCATTATGCATGAAAGTACTTTATTTATATAATCTTTGATGGATCTTCAGCTGGTGTTATGTGCAAGCCACACCCGCATTTTTGAAGCAATAATCAGTTATAGGAGTTTAAATATCAAAAGTACATATTTTCCTCATTTTTTCAAATCTGCTCCTTTTCCAAGATTACAATAATGACTTGTTAAAAGGTATTATTTTCCTTTTTCACCCCAAACCATGCCCTGGAGGAGTAGTGACTGATAATTGAAAATTTAATACTAAAAGAACAAAGAATATTTTCGGTTTGGCATTGCTTGGCTCTGAGATCTGTAACTCGGCAACATATTTAAATTGACATACTTAACATGGACTGGTAATCAGAACGGGCCATAATTTTATTTCGATTTTCCTCATTTTATTCCCATTACGAGTTCGGAACTGTCTGTGTTAGCCAAGTGAAAATCGCAATTCCCATATGCTTTAGTCCCTTTACACAACCTGATGTGAAACTGGCGAACAAAATTAGTCACCTCCATATTGGTACACACACTTCTGGAGCGTCAAATATGACAATCTTATTATAAATAGAACTAGGATGGCCAAATCCTGATAACCTACAATTCCAGTTTCAAAACAAGGCCACAGGCACCTACGCCCACAACTGCATCCAGGGTGCAATAATTTAGGTAGACACCGTCGAACCGAAAACATTACAGTCTATCAGTCAAAATTACCAGATCATTGCGCTTCGGCGCGGCTCAACGGGCTAAGCGTTAGGAATACGCTCGCCACCGCACCTCTAATTACTCTGCATGGGTTCGCAGGTTCGAATCCCATGCAGGGATGGGTATGTGTGAGAGGATTGCTGGACTCCTCGTCGCCGCTGGGTGGTTCACGTAATCGCTGGTCGGTTACGGCTTCCTCCACCACCAAGTCCACGCTTCCGAAAACAAACAATATAACTAATCCCATCCGGACGAGAGGACGTGGTTCGCCATATGCATAAGCTGTCTTATCGGCTTTCCTCTCCCCCGGGATAAATATGTAAAACCTATCCTATCGTTAGATATCCGTAGCTTCTCATAGAAAGGCGAAGAATAATATTTTAGTTACAGAAAATTTAAAATTGATTGAGCCATTAAGTGTAGAAAAAGTGTTTATTTAGCCCATCAAAACAGTCACCTCAACAAAAAGACAACTACATTTAGAAAATCGCATGTATATTTGTGTCAAATACAATTTCACATGTTTACAAATTACAATGTCTTATTAGCTTTTTTTCTCCTAGAGATAAATATTAAAAATTTTATCCTAAATATATAATACACATTAATCGACGCTCCTGAAGTGTGAGCAGCAAAACGGAGGGAACTAAATTTGTTCTCCTACTTTACATCAAATTGTGTAAAGAAACTGAAACTTATGGGCAGAGTTGTATATTTACTTTGCTAACACAAACAGTCCTCGAACTCACAATAGAAGCGAAAAAGAAAAATCTGAATAAAACTATGGCCTAACCTAACCTGGTACACACACTACGGGAGCACCATACCAAAAATTCTAACCTAAATATATTACACTTTAACTAACATGTACAATTTTTCTAGTCGAAAACTCCAAGCTGGACCCAGAGAATATGAAGGTTCAGTGCAAAGTGAATACCAAGATGGTCTCACCTTTTTAATCATTCTCGTCTCTGCCATTTTCATCTTGTATGGATTCTTCAACTATTTCTTGCCTCGTGGAAGACATGCCATGATTCGGATTTGTCATTGTTTCACGATATTTCGAAAGCTGTGGAGAATGTGCATTCACCACCCTGTTGACGATTCAATACCATGACATTCGTAGTTGCAAACGACTATCTGTATTAAAGTTAATAAAAATAAATAAAAAAAAACAAATAAAAATAGCAATGTAGTTTTTTTACGGTACTCGTGTAGTATGCAAACCAAGATGGTGGACACCGTAACGTAGTATGTGTATCAGGTTAGGGCTAGGCCATAATTTTATTCCAATTTCCCTTATTCTATTTCTATTACGAGTTTGGGGACTACCCAAGTGACTCCCGTAGTATTTGTACCTGAAATTATGGCCTAACCCTAACCTGATATACATACTACATTCCGGTATCCGCCCTTTTGGTTCACATACTTCGGGCGCACCCTTTTTTCTTGCCAATATTTTATATGAATGAATCTCTCGTTTTGGGTCTGTATCAGATGGAGCTGGGGCTATCAAAAATTATAGTGGCTTCAGCTCTTGACCATCTAACGCTGACATTGACAAATTACGGCCCCTGGGCCAGGAATCTGGCCCACCTGATACTGCCACAACCAAGGTAAAACCAAATTCCAATGATTCAGCTAAAAAATAGCTCAATGAATTTGTTAAGATTGCGGTTAAATTTGGTTTTAGCTCGAGGTTTATTGTTTTCCACTTTTGTAACACTGTAAATATTGTTCATAAAATGTACCTTTTCACGTCACACTTACATGACCCGCCAGTCTACATGGACAGAATTTTTGGCCCATTGTTCAAAAACCTTGCCTACCCCTTGATCAAACGGTTTGAATATAGTGTGGCTGTGAAGCCACTGTGATTTTAAACCGCGACCCAGCCCTGGCCAGTACGCGCCAATTGCAATGATCAGAGATGTCCAAAACAAATTGAATATTTCAACACATTCGAGATTGAGGTACTCCCGTAGTATGTGATCCAAGATTTTGGACACCGGAACGTAGTATGTGTAGCAGGTTAGGCCATAAATTCAGTCCAATTTTCCAAGTGACTGTAGTATTTGTACCTGAAATTATGGCCTAACCTTGACCTGGTACACATACTACATTCCGGTATCTGCCATTTTGGTTCACATACTTCAAGAGTACCAAAATTGGTTATATTCGATTCAGTAAATTATTGGTTTCAGGAATGTGGAATATTTTGATTTGAAATTTTCTTATTAAATATTTATTTTCTATCATAGACAAAAAATTAGTTACAGTAATCGGCAAAACCATACGTTACTCACCGCCAATAACAGTATTTCTATAATTAAATTACTCAATCTTTTTAACGAGATATTAGAACCTTGGGTGTCCATGCTCGATAATCAGATTTGGTTCCCTGCGACTTTACTTCCAAAGTAAAATTGTATGATTGCCTCTTTTTTAAATATTGTATGTGATTTTTTTTTACTGGTTGGATAAAATAAACTTGACTTGTTAACTCCTGACAGAATAAAATAGAGAATACTAAATAAAACAATGTTTATGCCAATTATTCTGCATAACCAAGTTTACAATTGTCTCAAATATATTCTCTTCTGGAACAGAATATATTCGATGTCTAATATTCAAAAAGATTTTAAAGCTTCAGGCTTGTATATATTTTCATAGAATCATAGTGTTCCCCCAGTATTTTTTTTTTCGTTTAGTTTTTCTTGGTTTGCCAATATTACCCCCATTTACTGAATGAGCCTATGTGATTTTAAAAATTTGTTTTATTGTCTGTAAACTTTGATTCTGTGTATGATTTTAAATTGTTACTTTGAAGAAATATTTGTGATGGGGAGCTTTTTTACCGTGTGGGATTTTGTTGAAAACCCCGGGATTATTTTTGCTTGATAATGTAGCCTATATAGGTATTAAATGACTATATTGTGCATTTCAAAACCCTGCATCACACTTTTTTACAAATACTGTAATGTTTTATTAAAGTTATACAAGGGGTGTCCTATACAAAAAATTCACTATTCTAAATATATTTTGAAATAATATTTTGAATAGGCTACAAAATATCTGAATTGGGCCATATTTTAAAAACACATATAAATTTGAAGGAATATTTCATAAATTCATGGAATTTAACTTTGATAATCCAGAATAGTTGACCGATTTTCAATTTTTATAAGTTTATTTTTGTCTGATTTTCATACGTTGGAATGTCAATTCTTCGAATGGCGTTGTCATAAATTATTTTTAAAGTGAAGAATTCACTATACCACCAATTTGAAATTCGAATATTCGATTTGTTTAAGACATCCATGGTTGCGACAAGTTAGTTAGCCAGTCATTTGTTCCAGATGCATTGTGGAGGAAATTCAAAATGCACAATATACAAAGTCGCACAAGTTCTCGCCTGGTGATATCTCAATAACATATACAACCAACGATGTATTACCGGCAATGTAGCTCTGTGACAGAAGTCTACCTCACAGACGCTGAAAGCAACGATCGTCTACATTTACAACAATTTTATCACTTCTATTGTTAAGGTCTCGTAACAATTACCTTTTGCGATTGCATAACTTACGACTTTATCTCGTATATGAAGGGTTATGTAACAGTGGATATACGTTAAATGCATATATTTTAGACTCTTTGTATCGCTGCGGACCCCTGTGTAGTTGTCACGGGCCCCACTTGGGGAAACTCTGCAATAAAGGAAGCGAGTATGGCGGTCGTGACATCAAAATTGATGAAAGCATTAAAGCAAATATTAATCACACAGTAGGAAAAAAATCTTTCAAAAAAGTGAAAAAGCTGTGGAAAAGAATCACTTAAGCTGGGTATAGTGAGAAGCAAAACCATGAATGATTGATAAATATTTACAAGGAATGAATGATGAATTCTTGTTGAGCATGGAAGAGCAGTAATTGTTTTCATGGTAACGAAATGTGTTCATTAGAACAGAATATATTCAACATCATCAGCACTTCGAAAAAAAAAGTTCTATTAGTGTGAGAAAGACTCATCGACCTTAGGGATCATCCAAAACAGAAACTGCGGTTTCCATTTCTTCGCTCTGACTCAATAGCGACACTGTGTGTCCCATCACTAATTAAATATTACTAGCTAATTATACAACATAATTCATCGAAAATCAATAGGCTTCTGGTCCGAGATATAATGAATGTACATGCAAAATTTGGAGCAGATTACAATAAGTTATATTCTATATCAGTGGTCGGCAACCACCGTAAATTCGCGTATACAAAAGTGTCTAACAGACAAATACCTGAAGATGGACAAGTAATAAACAAAAAAAAAACAGAACATTAATTTACATAAATTAAATCACATTTGTGAAAGTCTAAATTATCAGATTATTGTTTTTACTGGCCTTTTTCAACAACATTTGGCAAATCCGATTCCCTGTTATCGGTATAAGTCGGTGAGGATTCATCTGTTTCCTGCATCTGTTTATGGTAGGCTACTTTCGCTCGGTCCAATAACATAAACAGTAGGCTACGACTAGGATCCTGGGAGAAGAAAGCCATGACAGCTTAATCATATGGCGAACCATAGCCTCTCATCCGGATACCAGTTCATGTGGGGTATGGGATTAGTTGACGGTTATTTGTTTTCGGAAGCATAAAAATTCACATTGGAAGACATTTTGGGTCTAGTATAGTTTAGTACCACAAGTACTTCCAGTGGGCGTAGCATAACGATTTTTGCATATGTTATTCCTAACCCTCACCTGACTATGGCATCCAAAAATTACGTCACCATCACGTCATAGGGATTGCCAAAGTATAATTACGATCGCCCGAAATGGCATCTGCGCCGCCGATAAGAACTTGCTAAAGCCGGCGATCTCTCTCCTATCGTGATCGTTGCGACGAGAAAACAAGAGAAATAGCTTGCTCGATTTCGGGTTATCGTCTGCGCGTTTTGGACGACCATCCGCATACTTCAGTGGGCCTTATTACGCCACTGTGACGTCGAAATGACGTAATTTTTCGGTGACGTAGTCAGATGGGGTTTAGGATTGAGATATGCAAAAATTGTTGAGCCAGGCCAACTAGAAGTGGATGTAGTACTAAACTATACCAGACCCGACATTTTTTTTATTTTATATATTAGAATTTACGGTAAGTTCAAATTTGAAGTGTTACCGGTATACTATGTTCTATAAGGCTCTAAATTGATGCCAAGAATAAAATTGAGGTCAGTAGCAGTATCAAACTATTAAGAGGCTTGCATTCTGACAATCGAAGAACTTACCATATTAACGATGACATATTCCTGATGCGTGACGTTATCAGAGACTTTACGAATGCCGCATAGTTTGCAAAGATATTCGCAGATTGCCGCAAACAATAACACATTCCAACTGATTACTTTTCGACTCAATAGCGACTTCTAGCGATAGAAAAATATAATGACATTTTTACTTGTAACGTATGTTTATTTGCCTCAAAAATGTAACAGTATCTGCATAATAATTAAACAGCAAAACAGAGACGGGATACATGTTCAAGACCTCACTGGCCTAAGACACAGATAATAACAGCAATTTAGGACTGCTGCGTTATACTAGGACAGGGATGGCCAACCTTTTCCACTGAATGGGTCAAAAATTATATTTTTATCGTGGAACAGAAGTGAGTGGGTCACAGATATTTAATTCATGTCTGTATCTGTATCAGAAACTTCTGAAACAAATCTCATAAGCTGGTGTTGGTGTGGTTTTGGCTTTACTTTACTTTTTATATCACTCGATTTTATGAAATTAGAGTACGAAAACACGCATATGAATTACCAAAAATGTTTAGGATGATACGGCAAATTATTTTACGGTTCCAAAGAGTTTGGATGAAATCCCAATCTGATTTAGTTATATTGTTCGATCAGCTTTCAACCACATTAAAGCACTTTTACACTGCCCCATTGTTATTTCAGATTTTTATTTCAAGTCTGAAAGATTTTGTTTTCTCAACGGCATTGTAGGCGAGAAACAATAAAATTAGCATCTAGTTTTCGTATAACCCCTAAAACAGTCTGCAGATGCACTTCCGAAAGAGACAAGGCGTTACGAGAAATGAACAGACCAATTGCATTGTTATGTCATAAACGATGTCAGGGCCAATAGCTGAATAAAGGTACACAGCGGTGCAGACATGCGTTCAAGATTGGGGGTTTTGAAAATTACCACACCGGCCCGGAAATTAACAATTTGAATGTGAGCGATGGCAGCCCTGACTGCCCAACTGACGGTACATTATATATATTAGTTTAGTTATTGTTATATTAATTTAAGACCGGTTTTATCAATTTTTATTACTGATATCACATTTTATTTTATTCGTGCGTTGGCGGGTCACGAATAAAACGCGATGGGTCACTTTGGGACCCGCGGGTCAGTGGTTCGCCATCCCTGTACTAGGACAACAGACGTAAAATTGACTATACAAATAAAACTCTAGTAAAATACACAAGATAAAGAGGTATGGCACAACGGTGATATGTACAATAGTCAGTTTATGGCACGTCCATATCCCAGGTTCCGGTGTGAAAATATGGAGATAGGGTGTATGGGTCGCTTAATTGTTTTTACAATAAGTCCCACGAAACACGTAAAAATTTGTTAGGGATATAAACTTGCCAGAAACCAACGTTCGATGGGGCCACGACACGAAAAAAAAATTGTAAAAGATAAATGTAGAAAACCCTTTGTTTAAACTTGAGTTTTTAATCATAGTTTGCACTGGACCAAAGATATGGGAACAATAGAGAGTCTGGCATAAAATGAGGCCAATTTCATAAGCGCTATTGTGTGAAATTCATTGTCGCCATGTCTCAGCATGATAATTATAAATTTTTATTGAAAGATCTAGTTTGCATTATTGACGATCCAGTGAAGGAAGTAAATAAACAATAAAACTAAGCGGGTAAGAGAGACAATAGATCCGTGGGGGACTCGAAACTTGTTTTCCGATCAATGAAGGTTTGTTGCATGATGACATTGTTAATCGATTGGGGGTATTTTTCATCTCTGTAGTTCTTTTCTCATCTTCTATGTACCCTTAGTATCTGAAAAATAATTTCTAAAAAATAGGATGTCCTTAACTCACTAAATCTAATAGAATTCCAATAAATGTCTCTTAAGCTTGGACCTAAATTCGAACGTCGTTTTCGAGCTTTTAATACTATGGACCTTTCCCCGAGCATCGACTTCCTTGTTTATTCCGTGACGTTGGCCAATCAGCAAGATGCAAAAAGTGACGTAACAATGCCCCCTTTTCGCATCCGCTCAGACACTTTTCTCACTCAGACAGATTTTCAAGCGTGGTTGTAAACATGACCTCGTTTTCGCATTTTTGAACTCTATTCGTTAGTTTTCAGTTGTGTTTCGGAAACTTGAATAAAAATCAGATAATTCAATGATCACTCTGTCTTCTTAGGAGTTTTAATTTAATTGCAGTAATAAAAATTAGTGTAGAAATAGCTGTGATAGACTAGCCTGAAATTCTTTACCGGTACTTTTAAAAAACAGATTGTTGTGTGCGATGAATCCTAATGATGGTTTGAAACACATACCCCATTTTACAGGCGCCAACTCGCAAAAGCACTCCTAAAATAGCCCTGAAAATTCTGCAATGGTAAAGTATAGGAAGAATTTTCCTGGGGTCAAAGGTCGGGGAAAGGTCCATTAGGCCAGGGGTTCTCAAACTTTTGGTGTTGCGGAGCCCTTGAAAATGTTGACTATTATTCACGGAGCCCCAAAATAAATGTTAAAATTGTTACTTTCAGATTAATGTTCCTGAGCAAGGTAAAAGTACTTGTGCGCGATTGCATTTTGTTACAATCGCCGACTTTTTTCCTCAGCATGGCGTGTTTTTGAACTTTCAAACATCATTACGCCGGTGTTCATTCTCCCTAAATCAAAAATTTCCCTCGGCATACACATGCATTGTTACACAATGACGACGTTAATTGCTTTTATGTTGTTCTCGTGGGGAATTAAGAGTTCAATGTAAAAAAATATGTTAACATTTTATAGTCATCGACGACGAAATGCTAAAAATAATAATTAGTAAAGAGGTAAATCCGCAACTCAAATTTCTTGATTGAAAATAGACATTCTAAAATATTAAAACTTAAAATGGAAGATCACACGTTTGGTTTCAGCAGACTCATCTCAGATTGAAAACGCTTTTATAGACATTGTAAATCACAAAATTTGGTGTTATGTTAGGTTTTCATCGTAGTAACTGCGAAATCGAAACACTGTCAACTGTGCGCGCGATGTACCTTCTTTCCCATTTTGAAACTACCGACGGAGCTGCACGCAATCAATTGTGAGCGCGATCCGCGATGTACCTTTTTTTTCATTCTGAAACTACCGACGAAGCCGAATGCAATAAAATAAATTTCAATTGTTCGTATTTTGCCCAGACTTTGTGATATTTTAAAAGGTGATATCTTGCTTAAAAATAATCTCAAGTGCGAAAGAACATATCAAGTTTGACAAATCCCAAGATCGCAAAAATACTACTCTAATTTATTTATAGTTGGCAGTTCATCACGTATTTTATGTTACTTTAGAATAGTATTCTTTCATTTTAGTAATCCTAATAGTAATCTCGAATCAAACGTGAGAAACGATGAGCATTACATTGATACAATTACATTATAACGACGAGACACGTTAAATGCTCGCGTCGGTCATGGATTTAATATTTTACGCAACAGAAATCTCGTTATCCGTTTTTTCAATCGCGAATGTTGCGCGGAAATTTCCAATTCCAATTTTGAACCACCTTCCTCTTAAGAATCCTGGCTGTGCTTCTGCTTATAAATAATGTCATAATTCCGCCTCTTTGGCATATTTTGAGGCTATATTGTTGTCAGATTTTATCAAAGCTGTTATTGTTTCTTTGAACAGTTACAAAATTAGTCAGTATTTTGAAAAGTAATCGAATAGCTCGCGGAGCCCCTGGGTTTCTCTCACGGAGCCCTGGGGCTCCGTACGGAGCACTTTGAGAACCTATGCATTAGGCAATGGGTTCCATACTTTAGGTCCAAAGAATGTGATCGATTCAATCAATCAATCAATCATCATTTATTCGTCAACACAATTTAAACATGGTATGATATATGAAACAAGAGAGCTATGCTCAAATATATGGACACGTAGAGTCACATAATTTTGATGACGTCATAGCGAAAAAAAAAGTAATAGCCTTCTGGAGAAAATTTTTATCTTTAACCACTGAAAATTTCAAAGCAATTGGTCCAATATTCGAAGAGAAAAGCGACTTTTTAAAAACGTGTCAAAGAACAACAACATAATATTGAAACGATCGTTATGTCCACTACGTGTCCAAAAATATTACAAATACAAGTGGAAACTAACTTAAATTGTGTGACAGGAGTCGCGAGGGTCCTCAAGAGGTCTTCAGGCAGCGACACCTAAAACGCTTGTTGATTCAGGTTAATAGCTTAAAAAATTAATGAAACACCAAAACATTTCAAAATTAATATTTTGAAGAAAAAAAGAACATTTTCAGAAAACAAAAAATACCAAATATCCATCATAAGTATTTAAAATAAAAAAAAAACATCCTGGTTACGAGCATGTTTTTTTATTATTTAAATCAGTGAACAAATTCATAAAAGATGAAATGCACTGTATGAATTAAACGGTTGCACGAAAATACATAAAATATGTTATATATCGATGTGGAGTAAAGAAAAAAAATATAACGATTAACTATAATTCCCTTTAGACTGAATCTTTCAGTATCCCCTGACATGATGTTCGCAAGGTCTTTAACCAAAATTTGGTTTTCAAAAGTTACGACTCCACGCACATCTGATTCGTTCGCAGAGCTGCGCTTTGTTTGGCAGAGTAGAATAACCGTACGTTATTGATACGCTGCGACCAAAGTGACTATAACACTTTATAGTCAATTTGGCTGCGACAGAGTAAAGGGACAGGATTCGAATATTTAACCCAGCGGACAGGTAAGCCGATGACATGGCTTAATAATATAGACTTAATCAAGTACTCAGGTCAGTTGCAAAGAAGCGCAGTACCGGTAGTACCGTAGGCTGACGGACAACTCGACTACACGGACAACTTGACTACCTAAAGGCCTGGTGAGTTGTCCGTCTTTTGGCATTTTCTACGGTGATGTTTTAGGTCTATAGAAATGCGTTTTTGATATTTTTAGTGCTTAAATGTTGAGAAAAATACATAAATATGCTCTAGAAAGCATTATTTGTATGAGTGGCTTATTTTGATCATGTTGTATGAATACAAATACAGTCTACAGACGATATTGGAGTAACGTTAGCGATGTTAGACTGTTGACTTATAGGACTGTGTTCGTTTAATTTTTTGAACTTTATTGGTATGAAATGTTTTGAATGAGCACCTTTAAATATATTTCCCCACTCCCCACATTATCGTTGCATGAGGTTGTAGGTATTGGTCATTATCAACGTAATTGTTGAAAGAGAGTACAACAGCCCGAAAGTTTATTACTATCGTGTATTTTGTTTTTTAAGTTTGGCCCAAGCCTCATTTAATTGGGCTTGTGTTTTTGTGTGCGTGCTGGTGGGCAGGCACATGAGATACTTCATGTTTTAAACTTTTTTGTAGGTTTTGCTTGCCCTCCAGAATTCTCCATTTTAAATTTAGGTTTGTTGTGGAGTTTTCGAAATAAACTATCTATCTATCTATCTATCTATCTATCTATCTAAAACCTTTATACTTCACAGTAACACTTAAATATTTATGAATGTGAGCTCAGTAGTCTATGGTTGCAGTAGGCTAAAACTCGCCTACGGCAGTCGCCCGACAGGCCGTCAACTCACCAGTCGAGAAAACGCTCTGCGACGTGACGTCATCGATGCTCGAGGTGAAGACAACTCGACTACCGAGCAACGAATCTGAATCTATAGACCTAAAACACCATCGTAAAAAATGCCAAGAGACGGACAACTCACCAGGCCTCTAGGTAGTCGAGTTGTCTCTGGTGAGTTGTCCTTGTAGTCGAGTTGTCCGCCTCCCGTACCGTATAGGTACCGTAAGAGCGCCTAACTTTGGACAGTTCCTAACTTCGGACAAAATTTTTGAACGGCCATATCTTGGCTAAAACGCGCCGTATATTGCTAATTTTAATTATTATAGGTTGTGCTGTTATATCTACATCATTCTCATCTTTTTTAATGTTGCATAATTATTTTTTTGGTAAAAAAAACGGAAATTTTGCCGAAAATTGACTGCCCGGCATTCAACGGCGCAGAGCGTTGCTCCTACTGAAGCTATCTTCGTCAAAATACCATCATTCGGTAGAGGGCGACAACAATGTATATAATTTATTTGAGTGATCGCAAGATGTCGTACGAGATTTAAATAAAACCTAAAATTCTGAATTATAAATTCCGTAATAATATTAAGATTTCACGCAGCGTCAAAAATTACGTCAACCTCACGTAGATTATTTTTCGCTCACTTCCGACACGATGTCACACTGCGTCGCGGAAATGAATTTTGACGCCAGACACAACGGAGCCAATATGACAATTTCCGTTAAGATAAAGACGGCGTTCCAATGTAATATTTTTGTATTTTGTTCGGTCATGTATGAATATATGCCAAAATTACATTAATGAAAATACATGTCACACTTAATCGATGACGTTAAAAATCGAATATATAAAACTATGATAATTCCAACGTCCATATGGCACAGTGCACTGACTTAACCATTATTTTATGATTAGTAGTCGAAATGACAGTTATTGAATACGGCCTGGGTGAATTTTATTCACTCGAAATTAAAAATAAATTTAATCTACAACAAATAAATGGGACCTACATGTTTACAAGATTAAGTTGAATTTTAAATTAAACTTTACAATCGGATTTACCATGTGTTTGATATAAATTATCATTTATAAAGATAACCGCGCAGAATAAAAAAAAGCTATCCGTCGAGAATATTAATACTTCAAAGACTTCGATAGAAGCCCGTTAAAATACTTCATTGTGGATTGAAACGGTTTGCATCAGAAATATTTACGTATGCATTTCCTGATTAAAATGACTAACGTGGTATTATACTCATCTGAAGTATCGAAAATAACGAACGAAAGATGTAAACATAGGACGACGGAAGTTTCAAATAATGCATTTTCGTTGTGACGTCAATGTTATGTTACGACGACGATCGAGCGTCTTATCTTCACGCAACGACGTGATTACGTCATCTGCATCGGAAGCCTCTTTCTCTCTGTGCGTCGCGGTTACGCAGTGAAGAAAATGACTGTCCGAAGTTAGGGCAGTGAAGGATAACGGTCAGATGGCAAGAAATATCGATTATTTCAATAGTAAAATTAGTCCAATTGAACCGAAATTTGTAAATTACCGCACGAATGTTTTACCGAGCAATTTTGGCACCGTTTGGACAATAAACGGCCGAGTTATTGACGAAAATATAGTAATTTTGTCCGAAGTTAGGCGCTTTTACGGTACCGGTAGGTGATTTTTTGGTGATCAATTCAAAGAAAGGTAGTCATCAATGTATTTCTTTTTTAGTTCCCTTTTAAAACCATGATAGGATTGTGATCTCATTTCACCCGATATATTATTCCATAACTTTACACCCACGTATTTGATGGAATTCTGCGTTCTACATGACGTGTATCTCGGTACATGAAAGGAAGCTTGTGAAGCAGATCTTGTGTAATACGAATGAACATTAGTCTGCTTGGTGAAATATCCTACAAATGCGGTCGGAAGTTTGCCGTCAAAGTACTGGTGCATAAGTTTCAATATCTCAAATTTATGGACATGGCAAAGTTTCATTATTTTTAACATGTGATACAATGGGTCAAGTCTGGATCGTAAAGGTGCATTGCCTATTGCTCGGATTTATTTATTTTGCAGTACCTCTAATCTGTGAAGGAGTGTGGAAGATGCGTTTCCCCAAGCTACGATACCATATTGAAGATATGATTGAAAGAGAGAAAAATAAACTAATCGCATAGCTGATGGGGTGAGGAACTTTTTAAGTTTGAATAATATACCTGCTGTTCTAGCAAGCTTGCCAGCAATGTAGTTAATATGAGCTGCCCATTTTAACTGGTTATCAATGTGTATACCCAAGTATTTGTATGAGTTCACATTCTCAAGTAATATACCATTAATAGTAATTTTGATCAAATGCACACTTCTTTCATTTTTTTGGGTTTAATTAGAAGTGATTTGGATTTTTCAATATTTATAGTTAGTTTGTTACTAGTCATCCACGTTGCAATTTTTTGCATTTCAGAGTTCATGTGTATTTGCAAATCATTTGGCGAGACTGAACTTCCAAATAACCCGGTATCGTCAGCGAAGAGTTTGACCAATAATCTGGTGGCATGAGGAAAATCGTTGACGAATAATACGAACATTGATGGGCCAATTATTGTGCCCTGGGGAATTCCGCATTGTACGCATGCATCCGCATTCAAAGTTGATTTATAATCGTCACTTTGTACCCATTAAATTTTGTAACGTGGCGATCCACATAGTTTTATGGTATTAGTTTGAGATAGGGACGGGCAATATAGAATACCGAATCCGGAGGATTCGAATCCCAAAGTATTCGAATCCAACGGGATCCGATAACAGGATTCGGTTTCCGGCGCCAAGCGTCAATTTTTGTATTTCGGGTTTCTAATTTATCAATTATAGACGAGCGTTTTTCTCGCGTGGAAATCTCTCTCGTTTAATTAAACTTGCGTCTGCTCGCAAAGAACCCGTAAATCGGTAAACATCAAACACTGTAATTCCAATCGGCATATTCAGGACAAGAAGTCGGTAATATGACCTCACGGCGAGGACTCGTTATTGCACCATTTTTGCGTTTTTCTTCTTTGCTATCTAGCTAGCGTTATTTGTGCCGACTTACTGGAGATTTTCCGATAATCTGAATGCAACAATCTTTAATTGTTTACAGACGTGCCTTGCCTCATTTCAAATTAAATGATTTTTCGCGACCAACGAGTTTTTTCAAAAAAAAAGATGCACGTAAACCAAATCCCAGGCGTTAAATGTTATAACATTACTCGCCATTAATTTAAATCAAATATTATTTACGAATAATTTTATTATACCATTTTCCGAAATACAAAGTTATATCGCAAAACGCGAACTACTGTCACATTTAAATTTCACTCTCAAAAGATTACATATTTTTCGGTCCGTTTCTATCGTTCAAGATAGACGCACGTTTGATCGAGTGTCTGAAGTATTTTAGTCGCCGATGAATTTTGAAAAAAAGTTGCCGCATCTGGCGAAGATTGTGACGTATTGAATTTGAGTAGGGCTAAGTCTGGGTAGATAATGATTTATGATAACATTTCTATCGTTACTTTTGATCGAGTGTCTGTAGTATTTTAGTCGCCGATGAATTTTGAAAAAAGTTGCCGCATCTGGCGAAGATAGTGACGTATTGAATTTGAGTAGGGCTAAGTCTGGGTAGATAAAGATTAATGATAACATTTCTATCGTTCAAGATAGACGCACGTTTGATCGGAAGTCTGTAGTATTTTAGTCGCCGATGAATTTTGAAAAAAGTTGCCACATCTGGCGAAGATAGTGACGTATTGAATTTGAGTAGGGCCAAGTCTGGGTAGATAATGATATGTAACGATAATCATAGAAAATGAGTTCGTCTTCAGATGTTATTACCTAATAACTAAGTACGAAATCGCGTTTACGGGAACTTGGTTTTACGTGTCTTGCTCTCACGGAATAAAAGGTTGATTTTAATTGATAGTGGTTAAATGTAATATTTTACAACGGTGCATAGGTTGCAGTGGCCACACGCTGGTTCAGCATCTAATTAATTCTCAGCGGGTATGTTGTAGTATACTCGGCAGACTTACATTAATAATGATTTAACGTTTTCGCATTTTTGAACTCTATTCGTTAGTTTTCAGTTGTGTTTCGGAAACTTGAATTAAAATCAGATAATTCAATGATCACTGTGTCTTCTTAGGAGTTTTAATTTAATTGCAGTAATAAAAATTAGTGTAGAAATAGCTGTGATAGACTAGCCTGAAATTCTTTACCGGTACTTTTCAAAAAACAGATTGTTGTGTGCGATGAATCCTAATGATGGTTTGAAACACATACCCCATTTTACAGGCGCCAACTCGCAAAAGCACTCCTAAAATAGCCCTGAAAATTCTGCAATGGTAAAGTATAGGAAGAATTTTCCGGGGATCAAATGTCGGGGAAAGGTCCATTAGGCAATGGGTTCCATACTTTAGGTCCAAAGAATGTGATCGATTCAATCAATCAATCATTATTTATTCGTCAACACAATTTAAACATGGTATGATATATGAAAAAATATTACAAATACAAGTGGAAACTAACTTAAATTGTGAGACAGGAGTCGCGAGGGACCTCAAGAGGTCTTCAGGCAGCGACACCTAAAACGCTTGTTGATTCAGGTTAATAGCTTAAAAAGTTAATGAAACACCAAAACATTTCAAAATAAATATTTTAAAGAAAAAAAGAACATTTTCAGAAAACAAAAAATACCAAATATCCATCATAAGTATTTGAAATAAAAAAAAACATAACATCCTGGTTACGAGCATGTTTTTTTATTATTTAAATCAGTGACCAAATTCATAAAAGATGAAATGCACTGTATGAATTAAACAGTTGCACGAAAAGACATAAAATATGTTATATATCGATGTGGAGTAAAAAAAAAAATAACGATTAACTATAATTCCCTTTAGACTGAATCTTTCAGTATCCCCTGACATGATGTACGCAAGGTCTTTAACCAAAATTTGGTTTTCAAAAATTACGACTCCACGCACATCACACGGCGCGGCGGTGTGGCTCAACGGGCTAAGCGTTAGGAATACGCTCGCCACCGCACCTCTAATTACTCTGCGTGGGTTCGCAGGTTCGAATCCCATGCAGGGATGGTTATGTGCGAGAGGATTGCTGGACTCCTCGCCGTCGTTGGGTGGTTCACGTAACCGCTGGTCGGTTACGGCTTCCTCCACCACCAAGTCCATGCTTCCGAAAAACAAACAATACAGTAAAAACTAATCCCATACCCGACTTGGAATGGTAACCGGACGAGAGGCCGTGGTTCGCCATATGGATAAGCCGTCTTATCGGCTTTCCTCTCCCCCGGGATAAATATGTAAATCCTATCCTATCCTACATCTGATTCGTTCGCAGAGCTGTGCTTTGTTTGGCAGAGTAGAATAACCGTACGTTATTGATACGCTGCGACCAAAGTGACTATAACACTTTATAGTCAATTTGGCTGCGACAGAGTAAAGGGACAGGATTCGAATATTTAACCCAGCGGACAGGTAAGCCGATGACATGGCTTAATAATATAGACTTAATCAGCGGCGCGGCGGCGTGGCTCAACGGGCTAAGCGTTAGGAATACGCTCGCCACCGCACCTCTAATTACTCTGCCTGGGTTCGCAGGTTCGAATCCCATGCAGGGATGGGCTCTGGACTCCTCGCCGTCGTTGGGTGGTTCACGTAACCGCTGGTCGGTTACGGCTTCCTCCACCACCAAGTCCATGCTTCCGAAAACAAACAATACAGTAAAACTAATCCCATACCGGACTTAGAATGGTAACCGGACGAGAGGCCGTGGTTCGCCATATGGATAAGCCGTCTTATCGGCTTTCCTCTCCCCCGGGATAAATATGTAAATCCTATCCTGACCTATCCTAAGTACTCAGGTCAGTTGCAAAGAAGCGGAGTACCGGTAGTACCGTATAGGTATCGGTAGGTGATTTTTTGGTGATCAATTCAAAGAAAGGTAGTCATCAATGTATTTCTTTTTTAGTTCCCTTTTAAAACCATGATAGGATAATGATCTCATTTCACCCGATATATTATTCCATAACTTTACACCCACGTATTTGATGGAATTCTGCGTTCTACATGACGTGTATCTTGGTACATGAAAGGAAGCTTGCGAAGCAGATCTTGTGTAATACGAATAAATATTAGTCTGCTTGGTGAAATATCCTACAAATGCGGTTGGAAGTTTGCCGTCAAAGTACAGGTGCATAAGTTTCAATATCTCAAATTTATGGACATGGCAAAGTTTCATTATTTTTAACCTGTGATCCAATGGGTCAAGTCTGGATCGTTAAGGTGCATTACCTATTGCTCGGATTTATTTATTTTGCAGTACCTCTAATCTGTGAAGGAGTGTGGAAGATGCGTTTCCCCAAGCTACGATACCATATTGAAGATATGATTGAAAGAGAGAAAAATAAACTAATCGCATAGCTGATGGGGTGAGGAACTTTTTAAGTTTGAATAATATACCTGCTGTTCTAGCAAGCTTGCCAGCAATGTAGTTAATATGAGCTGCCCATTTTAACTGGTTATCAATGTGTATATCCAAGTATTTGTATGAGTTCACATTCTCAAGTAATATACCATTAATAGTAATTTTAATCAAATGCACACTTCTTTCATTTTTTTGGGATTAATTAGAAGTGATTTGGATTTTTCAATATTTATAGTTAGTTTGTTACTAGTCATCCACGTTGCAATTTTTTGCATTTCAGAGTTCATGTGTATTTGCAAATCATTTGGCGAGACTGAACTTCCAAATAACCCGGTATCGTCAGCGAAGAGTTTGACCAATAATCTGGTGGCATGAGGAAGATCGTTGACGAATAATACGAACATTAATAGGCCAATTATTGTGCCCTGGGGAATTCCGCATTGTACGCATGCATCCGCATTCAAAGTTGATTTATAATCGTCACTTTGTACCCATTAAATTTTGTAACGTGGCGATCCACATAGTTTTATGGTATTAGTTTGAGAAACAATTAATCATTTTAAATTTAGATAAATTTAGTGAAAATTCCTGACAAAAATAACCAAGTCATACCAAAGGTTTAACCGTTAGGTGGCGACAGCGTAAGGTTTAGTTCGTTTTCCTTGATTGGCCAGGTGCGGTATTTGTCAGCTTTTAGCTTTGTTACGGTACCGGCACCGAAATTCAAGGCATGGTAGGTGTTTTTCTGATTTTTGTCTAATTCTTTAAAAATTTTGTTTTTGATATTAAATGCTTATAATGGATAAATTTAAAATATATGTTGAATGGTATAATGTTTTCAATGGTCACTGGATGTTATGTCATGGATACTTGGATTATCATTACATGAATGTGGACACAATTTAAATTGGATTTCTGAACTAATATGGGTAAATGTATCTGGTTTGTTTAAAATTTATCATTATTCATCTATGTAATGTATACTTATATGATCTATAATATCACCTAAATTACCTGGAAAATTGGGATTCATGCAACTAAATTTAAATAATATATTTGGATAAACCAAAACTATCAATATCATAAATCCGAATTAGCAATGGATTTAAATTTGGCAAAAAAAAAAAAATCCAAGGCAAATCAAATAAGCAATTAGCTACATTATTTTGGGAGAGTTTCAGATACCGGCATGACATAACGGTATCGTACTTCTCGAACCAGACTCCCAAGACGGTTTGAGTTACGATCCAGTCTGGATTTCATGGCCTTTTTCAACGAGAAATCGGGCCTAAATTCCCGCGTGCAAATCAGAATTCCTGGCGTGCAAAACCACTTGCGCCCGCGTGCAACTGGCTTTGACTTTAGTAGCGTACTGTCAGACTGTTCAATAACTCCGCGTAAAATTATTGGATAAAAAATACGTTGAGTCAGAGCAAAAATGGACGTTTAACCTTTTACTCCCAAACTTTATTTCTATACTTTGTCATTAATTTTGAGAGTGTTTGTGCGACTTTGGATACAGGTACTGTTAAGTACATTCATGTAAAATTATTGAATAAAACTACGTTGAATCAGAGAAAAATGACGCCTGACCTTTGCCCCCAAACATCATTTCTATACATTGTCATTAATCTTGAAAGTGTTTGTGCAACTTTAGATACCATTACTGTTCGAAAAAAATACGTTGGATCAAAGCAAAAATGGTCATTTGACCTTTGACCCCCCAACATTATTTCTATACTTTGACATTACCTTCGGGAGTGTTTTTGCATAAAAATATTGGATAAACAATACGCCGAATCATAGCCTTAACTGACAAGCGTCTGCAAGGAGTCTGGTGATCTTTTCATCAATACCTATACTCACGGGATTCCTATCATTCAACATGATGCACCATACGGCCGAGCAATTATGAAATGTTTTTTTTTTTGATCAGGCCAAATCTTGCAAGCTAGTATGTAGTCAACAATTGTGAAGCTATAATTTGTTGGCATTGTAGGATACAAAGATTATACCGTTTTTCATTGGTGAGCAACTGCAAATTTTCAGCGTGCAAGATTGAATTCGCTCGCATGCGAGTTCAGGTTGTGCGTCATCTTGGTGAGCATGCTTCAGGAGGTCCCAAAATTAGAATACCGTATATTCGTCCAAAAGTTATTGTAATGTTTTTTTCAATAAATACTTGTATAAACGGCCCACCAAAACATGATGTTCCCATGACATTGGCGCACACTACGCTCATTGAGACAATATCATAGCTACTGAAAAATAAATAAATAACTAAACTGCATGACTCAAATATAAGACTCAATTTTTACGTCTTTGTTTGTTAGTAACTCTGTGCAGATTCTCGTGTGGTCGTCATAAATTCACAAGTGCGTTGTGTAATGATTGATTTTTTGATTCAGCGGCCCGCGAGTGTCACGCCTTGTGTTACCAGATATTCGGTGCTCCCGAAGTATGCGAACCAAGATGGCGGACATCGGACACAACATGGGTAACAGGTTAGGGTTAGGCGATAATTTTTTTCCAATTTTCCTTATTTTAGTCATATTATCAGTTTGAAGACTAGCCAAGAGCCTCCCGTAATATTTATACCTAAAATTATGGCCTAACCCTAACCTAGTACACATATTACATTCCGATGTCCGCCATCTTGGTTAGAGCCCCAGATATTCGAATATTAAACTGCTATTTTAATATTAGACTCCATATTCGAATATTTCGCCAGCACTAATGAGTAACCATGCAGTAAATACTTATTAACGTGATTGATTTTAGGCTAATAATCTTGCCTTTTATGTATTATATAAATTCTAACGAAATCAGGACTTGGTTAGTATTAAAGTTTGGTACAAACGTTTGCGGCCCGCAACGAATTTCCTTATGTGAAAGTGGCCCGCGAGAGGAAAAAGGTTAAGCATGCCTGCCGTAGGAGTTGCTTAAATACACAAATATAAAGATCAATATGGATTTATGGGACATTTAGGCATATTCACCACAGTAGCAACAAATACTGATACATTACCGTAACCTTCGGGCACCAATACACTTCAATTATTAGTGTACAGAACCCTTACTCTGTAACTACACACAGCAAATCAAACACTACGGTATAACTCAAACTGGTCACAGTATTAAGTCAGTAAGTAAAAAAGAATAAAAGCTTACCTTACCTTGAACCTTACTTAAGGTTTTGTTCTCTTTCCCGATTCTGTAATCAGTTCTTTTAATTTGTTTTATCAACTTTTTATCGTCTTTCATGCTGATTATGGAGTCTTATTCTTTTAGTCAGAAAGATGAGCGATGTCAGGAAATCAAATCGCCGTCCCTGATTTATTCATTGAACTTAATGAGAAATTTGATATTGAACATAAAGTGCCGGTACCGGTATACCATGAAACCGTGTAACTTCAGATGCAGCTATATTTCATGAATAATTTCTCCAATTCTCGCTAAACTTGGAATTCTCGGTACACCCATATAATTGTCTATCAGATTATTTTTCTGTCCTAATTGTCTAGTTTTCTGCGATCTGATCACTATGCCACTAAATATCTAACTTTGAATGATGAATCCTCTATCTGGGTCACCACAACTTGGAGCAACAAATGTATGTGGTGAAAATGTGCGTAATGACGCTTTGAGTAAATGCTTACCGGTATGTCATCATGTGCGAGAGGATTGCTGGACTCCTCGCCGCCATAGGGTGGTTCACGTAACCGCTGGTCAGTTACTGCTTCCTCCACCATCAAGTCCATGCTTCCTAAGGGTGGTTCACGTAACCGCTGGTCAGTTACTGCTTCCTCCACCATCAAGTCCATGCTTCCGAAAACAAATAACTGGCTCACCAATCCCATACCCGACTGGTAACCGGACGAGAGGCCGTGGTTCGTCATATGATTAAGCCGTCTTATCGGCTTTCTTTCCCCCCGGGATAAATATGTAAATCCCATCCTATAGCCCAGCAATGTTGATATATGTTTACTATGTTTTTATTACATTGAAGGAAAATGTCTAATATCTGTTAATTTTGTGTAAAATAGAAAATTAGTGACGCAACAACGAAATATTTTTAATTGGGCGACATGGATATGGAGATCAGGGGAAGTACGTCGTTTTGCAGTGTGAATGATGTTAAAGAAAAGCATCATACTTGTGAAGTATGTGCAAAACATTTTGCAACACTTAGAAACTTGAAATACCACTTGAGAATCCATACAAACGAAAAGCCCTATGCTTGTGAAGTATGTGGGAAAGATTTTGAAAGATCAAATAGCCTGAAAAATCATATAAGAAGCCATGCAAAAGAAAAGCCTTATACTTGTGAAATGTGTGGGAAAGATTTTGCATGGCCAAGTTATTTGAAACGTCACATACGAACCCATACTGGAAAAAGACCTCATGCTTGTGAAATATGTGGGAAATATTTTGCAGAGACAGGTGATTTGAAAATACACATACGAACGCATACTGGAGAAAAACCTCATGCTTGCGAAATATGTGGGAAAGATTTTGCATCGCCAAGTAATTTGAATCGTCACATACGAATCCATACTGGAAAAAGACCTCATGCTTGTGAAATATGCGGGAAAGATTTTGCAGAGACAGGTAATTTGAAAAGGCACATACGAACGCATACTGGAGAAAAACCTCATGCTTGTGAAATGTGTGGGAAATGTTTTGCAAGGCTGCATCATTTGAAAAATCACTTGCGAACGCATACTGGAGAAAAACCTCATGCATGTGAAATATGTGGAAAAAATTTTGGAAGAGCAGATAAATTAACGTACCATATAAGAATCCATACAAATGAAAAGCCCTATGCTTGTCAAATATGTGGGAAAGACTTCCGAAATACAAGTAATTTGAAAATGCACATGCGAAACGCATAACTGGGAGAAAAACCTCATGCTTGTGAACGTATGTCGGGAAAGATTTTGAAAGAATCAAATAGCCCTGAAACATCATATAAGAAGGCCATGCCAAAGAAACGCCTTAAATGCTCTGTGAAATGTGTGGGGAAGATTTGCCATGGCCAAGTTATTCTGAAACGTCACTAATACGAACCCATAACTTGGAAAAAGACCTCATGCTTGTGAAAATCTGTGGGAAAGATTTTGAAAGATCAAGATAAGCCTAGAAAAATCATATAAGAAGCCATGCCAAAAGAAAAGCCTTATGCTTGTGAAATTTGTGGTGGGGAAGATTTTCGCATCGCCAAGTATTTGAATCGTCACATACGAACCATACTGGAGAAAAACCTCATGCTTGCGAAATATGTGGGAAAGATTTTGCAGAGACAGTGATTTGAATCACATACGAACCATACTGGAAAAACCTCATGCTTGTGAAATATGTGGGAAAGATTTTGCAGAAGTAATTTGAAAAGGCACATACGAACCATACTGAGAAAAACCTCATGCTTGTGAATATGTGGGAAAGATTTTGCAGAGACAGGTGATTTGAAAAGGCACATACGAACGCATACTGGAGAAAAACCTCATGCTTGTGAAATATGTGGGAAAGATTTTGCATCGCCAAGTAATTTGAATCGTCACATACGAATCCATACTGGAAAAAGACCTCATGCTTGTGAAATATGCGGGAAAGATTTTGCAGAGACAGGTGATTTGAAAAGGCACATACGAACGCATACTGGAGAAAAACCTCATGCTTGTGGAATATGTGGGAAATATTTTGCGAGGATATATCATTTGAATCGCCACATAAGGACCCATACCAGAGTAAACCTCATGCTTGTGAAAAATGTGGGAAAGGTTTTGCCAGGCAGAATCATTTGATAAAGCACATGCGAACGCATACTGGAGAAAAACCCCATGCTTGTGGAATATTAAGGAAATATTTTGCATGACTAAGTAATTTAAAAGCTCACATGTGATGTCCTATTGAAAAAAAACCTTGTGCTTGCAAAATCTGTGAGAAAGATTTTACACAGCTGCTTCATTTGAAACGCCACTTGAGAATTCATATTGGAGAAATATGTGACAATTTAAAAACGTCAGATTAACAATTCTTTTTTCTGGAAATAGCTAGATTGATATCAAAATCATCCTGAAAGCCCATTTTGTGGCTTAATATATGATTTACATAAATATCGGCCACTAGTTGGCCGATATATCGTCATCGGTGTCAAAAAGTGCTATCGGTCGAGCTCTACTTCTTACATTGTATGTTATACATTCTTTGTATCATCCAGATCAGGGCTGCTGAACTGGCGGGCCGCGTACAAACCCGGACCTTTTGGGTATTCAACTCGGATTGACCTCTTTAACTTTAGATATGTGAAGGTTTTCTTGACTTTTATTCATACTTTTAGAGGGTATTTTATCACTCTGTAACAGTATAACCTAAAAGTTAGAGACACCAAAATCTACTCAGTCGCACTGTGAAATATATGTTTTGAAAAGACCGTACCTCACTAATTTTGAAGGGTTGTATACGGACATTTGGAAAAAATAGTTGAGTCGCCCTGATCTAGATGCTTTCTTCGTCTTCAAAGCATGCTAATAATCAATTATGCCAATCCTCACTGGAAAAAAACGTATACTTGTGAAATATGTGGGAAAGATTTTGCATGGCCAAGTAATTTGGAACGTCACATACAAACCCATACTGGAAAAAGACCTCTTGCTTGTGAAATATGTGAGAAAGTTTTTACTCTGAGAAATCACATGGGAATGGTCTTGAACAACCTCCCCACTACCCAGAGTGGTAAATAGTTAGCTTCTGGGGTACATTTTGCTAGAATTAGAGTTTAACAATAAATTTATTATATTCCAAGTCTATTTAGGGACATTTATATTTTTTTCGAAAAGCACTTGGAAAATGTATTTCTTTGGCTTTATGTTTTAGATGGCATAGTTTTTTGTGTACTTTTTGTAGTGAAGTTTTTGTTCTATGGATCCAATAATAAAATGAGTTTTGTGTAATCTGTCTTTCACCTAAAATACCAGTGGTTATCCAGGGTTCCTTTCTAGTTGGCGTTCTATTCTAGTTAATTTAGACATCTAATTGGGACTTTTAGAGGACAAATCATCGTTAGGAGGGAAGTCATAACTCAAACAATTAAAGTTCCTCCAGTATGCGTTTGCATGTGCTTCTTCAAGTGATTCAGCTTTGCAAAAATCTTTCCCACATATTTCACAAGCATACTCCGGTATGAATTCTTCTGTGAGTTTTTAAAATCACATATTTCACAAGCATGCGTTCGCATGCCGGAGCAAAACCATATGCTTGTGAAATATGTGGGAAAGATTTTGCAAAGCTGAATCACTTGAAGAAGCACATGCAAACGCATACTGGGGGAAAACCTCATGCTTGGGAAATATGTGAAAATTATTTTGCAAGAGCAGAATACCTAAAGCGCCATGGCCATACCAAAGAAAGAACTTATGCTTGTGAAATATGTGGGAAAGATCTTGTCAGGACAGGTGATTTGAAAACGCACACAAGAATTCATACTGGAGAAAAATCATTTGGAGAAGCACATGCAAACGCATATTGGGGAAAAACCTCATGCTTGTGAAATATGTGGGAAAGTTTTAGCCAGGACAAGGGATTTGAAAAGGCCCATATGAACGCATACTGGAGAAAAACCTCATGCTTGTGAAATATGTGAGAATGATTTTGCCCGGACAGGTAATTTGGAAATACCACATACGAACCTAACTAGGGAAAAACTATATGCTTCTGATATACGTGGGAAAGATTATGCAAGATCAGATTGTATTATGTAACTCATCTTTCTAATACACTATCTTCTTACATTGTATGTTATTGTACATACGTTCTTTGTATCATTCAGATCAGGGCTATGCGTTCAAAGTCCGTACCGCATCTGATTCTTCATTTTGAAGCATTGACCCCTTCAACTTAGATATGTGAAGGTTTTCTTTTAATGACTTTTCTTCATACATTTAGAAGGGAATGTTATCACTCTGTAACGCACCAGAATCTACTCAGTCGCACTGTGAAATATATTTTTCGAAAAGACCAGACCTCACCCATTTTGAAGGTCTGTATACGGACATTTAGAAAAAAGTTGAGTAGCCCTGATCTGGATTAGTGGTTCTTAACCTTTTTAGTTTGCGGACTATGAAATTTCAAATTTAGAATCAACCCAAAATGTCATAAACCCTACACATAATTATGACAAAGGAATGTAATTCTAAAGCAGACCATTCAATTCTGATATCACATGTATTGAACGCGGTCCTAATGAAGTTTCCGTCACTGAGCTCAGGATATTTATTCTTTTTCAAGTGATGAACATGTTGGAAAAATTTTGCATGTGAACACATACTGGAAAAAATCTCTTGTGCTGAAAAATGCTTGTGAAATATGTTGGAAAGAGTTTGCCAGGACAGGTAATTTGAAAATACACATGCGAATGCACTTAGAGACACATGAAGGTGTAAAACCTTTTTTTATTATTGATTCTGATCTGAGGTCTGATTCCATCAAGCATTGTTTTACCTTAGTTGTTATTTTACTAGAACAATATGAATTTTTCAGATAGAAACAGATGATAAGCAGATGTAACCTATTGATCATTTGAGTTTACTATTTTTCCATTAACTTGGTAATATTGCTCCAAAAGTAATGAAACATTTTTGCCCTGTTACATTGTATATTATCGTGTATATGTTATACATGTATAGTTCTCCCATTTTTAACTTTTTATATCATGTACCAGCAATGAATTCACTCTCATTATTTTATTTCAACCCTTCAACTTATGAAATATGTGGGAAAGATTTTGCATGGCCAAGTAATTTGAAATGTCACGTACGAACCCATACTGGAGAAAGACCTCATACTTGTGATACGCGTGGGAAAGGTTTTGCAAGGCTATCATTTGAAAAAGCACATGCAAACGCATACTGGAGAAATCTGGCTTTATGTTTTACTCTGAGAAATCACATGCGAATACCAAATGCAGTACCAATAGATTATGTAGAAATTCTGCTACTGTCATGAATAACCACCCCAGAGTGCTGATTGGTTAGCTTCTGGGGTACATTTTTGCTAGAATTAGAGTTTTATATTCCAAGTCTATTTAGGGTCATTTATATTTTTTTCGAAGCATTTGGAAAATGTATCTCTTTGGCTTTATGTTTTAGATGGCATAATTTGTTCGTGTACATTTTGTAGTGAAGTTTTTGTTCTATGGAACCATTAATAAAATTTGTTTTGTGAAATCTGTCTCTCACTTTGGTTGGTGGTTATCCAGGGTTCCTTTCTAGTCAATTTACGAAGTGGTGCATGTTCACTGCATAGACTGTGGACTTTGAGAGTCAAAATTATAAGATTGAAATTTTGACCATCAACGTTAGGAAGGTCTTGAGCAAAGTCTGCGGCATCAAAGTTTCTCATGTCACATTTTAGTTGGTATTGGTTATGATGACGCATGTTTAATTTTAAATTGACCAAAAATTGGCTAGATTCAGATAATTTATTTTCGTCGTGCAAGAAACATTGTAAACACGAACAATAAAAAATCAAGGCAACAGAAAAAACAACAGACACACAATTTTTCCACTGCAATTAAAGAGGAACCGCAAAAGACAATCAAGTCATCGTGCCAGCGACACCATAGATGCCGAGGGTTGTGATCAGTAGTGGGATTCAGCCGGTTCGCACCGGTTCTATAGAACCGTCTCACGGAATTTCATAAGATTAGCGAACCGGTTGGCATTACTTAAAAAAAACATGACTTTTTGTAACAGAACCGGCTGAACAATATGACATTTGTGTGATGGAACCAGCTGACGAAAAATTTGAATCCCACCCCAATTCGAATGGTAATTTTTCTTGTCGGGTGTGTAATCAGTGGAATTGCAGCATGGGACCCTAGCATATCAAGAAAATCTTTGGTAAATTTGGAACTAAAATATTACATTCTTTTTATCAATGGACAAATTGATAAGTACATTCAAATATCTCATTCACTGGAGCTTGGATGACGATATACAACTCCTACAATGATTGAAGAGAATTTTCCAGCTTTAATAGGTATTTTCTACCAACAGATCTTCTCAAGAGGTGATACCCAACATATATTTATCGACCGGCAAAAGATTTGAATTTAAATATAAACCCACCCCTCCAGGAATAGTTGTTGTTGGTGTGTGGAAGAAATTGTAATCTTCAATATTCATGTTTACTATGGTATCAGTTTAAAGTTTCGTTTCTGAAAGAGCTATTGCACTAAGGCAGTGATTCTCAACCTTTTTGTTCTTGTGGCCCATTTTCGTTGCACAACAATCCCGTGGCCCATTAACTTTGTTCATGCTAGGTAAAAACAAGACAAACAAAGAATTCTTTCTGCAAAAATGGACACTTTTACTTTAAAAATTAATTAGGAGAAAATTGCTACCCTGCATCGTTCATAGATACAACCATCAAATTTATCAACAACTCTATAATGATTTTTAGAAGTCTTGTGGCGCACCCGAAAATGTTCCTGTTGCCTAGAAGTGGGTCATGGCTCACTGGCTGAGAACTAAGAGATGGATCTAGATTAGACATGGACAAAGTACGGTCTACGTGCCAAATTTGGCCCGTTGGGTAATTCAATTTGGCCCGCCTGATGCTGCCACAACCAAACTGAAACAAAATTTCGACATTTCAACTAAAAATAACCCGAGGAATTTGTTGAGATTGCGACTAAATTTAGTTTTGGCACGAGGCTTATTGTTTTTCACTGTTGCTTTTGTAACACTGTGAATATTGTTCATAAAATGTAACTTTTTACGTCGCACTTACATTGACCCGCCAGTTAAACCGTTCCCACTCCTGATCTAGATCAACTATGATATTGGATAACTCGTCAACGTGCTTTTGTAGTCCGAATGTTAAGCGAACACACTAACTCTTTTGTTCAGGAAGTTATTCAGGACACTATCTACAGTTTCAAGTGAAGACAAGGCTCGACATCATAATTAAAATTTGAGGTGTCAAGAGTTTCTCGTCTATTGTATATGAACAATTATTAGAAGGAAAATTTTTTTTTAAAAAAATTTGGACAAAAAATACTGCCACAAGTATTTGAGCAAACAAAATAGCTGAAAAGCCATTTTGCAAAGCTATTATACTAAATATGAATTTTTCAAAATGAATTTATGATAGTTTAACTAGGTCTGTCAGATTTTTCATTGGGATTCTTGGACTATCTTTGGTGTTTCTCATATAGAAGTTGCCATTTGTTGTCCGAATCTCTCGAACATTTTCGATTTTTCAGTCAGTCTGGCATATAAGGAGATTACTACGAAAGTTTAATTTATATAAAGAGAATGCCGATATCCTTCATTTTAGTGGTTGTCCGTAGTTGTTGGCTATATTTTATTCACATTAAATATGTTTTATGATGAAGGAAGGATATTAAGCGAAATGAGGATTGCTGGACACCTAGCAGCCCCTGGTGATTTCGGCATCCTCCCTCATCAAGTCCATAATTCCGAATAAAAATAAATGGCAACTCTTCCCATGTGTGCCTCTCCTCTGAAATAAATATGTTAATTCTATCCGATAGGCATATAAAAATATTGGTCGCGCCGATTGGAACGTGATAAAAAAACTTTGAAGAACACTGACTTACATCATTACTGGCTGCTGGTTCATTCAAAGAGGATGGGATCGAAAACACGACGTAATGAATTGCTAGTTTTTCATTTCGCTGAGGCGTGATATAATCATGAAACAACCTCCAGTTAATATGCGTGATGAACACGGCAATGCATCAAACCCTCTCTAGATTGGTCAACGATGTCAACCAGTAGCAACATCAGAGTAACGATATTTTTCTTTGCTTGGTCTTAGTCTGACGTAGGCAAATTACAGCGAGTGGGTCAAATCCGGTTTATTTGGTGATTCATTCTGGCCGGCTTGATGCTGCCATGACTTTTAGCCAATTCTGCATGTACTACTTAGTTATGAATATTTAAATATGTATGGGGCAATAGACTTGTTAGATTATACAACTTTCACAGACTGTAATTTAGGTTGGCACAGACTCTCATGTTGTTGGAATGTTAACAAAACTTTGCGTCACACCTACGTGGCCCGACGGTCTAGACCAGGGGTTCTCAAACTTTTGGTGTTGCGGAGCCCTTGAAAAGGTTGACTATTATTCACGGAGCCCCAAAATAAATGTTAAAATTGTTACTTTCAGATTAATATTCCTGAGCAAGTTAAAAGTACTTTACCCAATTTAAATGCTGAACCGTTTTTAATAGGGTTGATGCAAGTCATAAATAAAACTAAATTTCAGGCATAAATTATATATATATATATACTAAAGCTGTAAATTTGACACTTGACAAACATACTAATAAATTAGGGGTCGATCGGCATATACATGTATTGTTACACAATGACGACGTTAATTGCTTTTTTGTTCTCGTGGGGAATCATCAGTTGAATGTGAAAAATATGTTACCATATTATAGTCATCGACGATGAAATGCTAAAAATATTAATTAATAAAGAGGTAAATCCGCAACTCACATTTCTTGATTGAAAAGC